TGGCAAGAGTCAGGGGCTGGGCTGGGCTTTGGCAATAAAGGAGATGTCCCTACTCCCTGCGTGGTATGAGTCCCAGGACAGGTGATTATCATCTCTGTGCCTTTTCCCCACCCCCAGATCTAAAGGGAGAAGACGACCAGCTGTTCTGCAAGCAGAAGACCCAAAGCACACAACCCCAGGCTATTTGAGTTAATAAATAACAAAAACCGCATTCTTAAGTGGGGGGTGAGGGGGTTACATAGCTGCATTTTTTTTTTAATAAGATAAAAAATAAGTCACACTTGTCCCTGAGGATTAACATGCTTTCTCTGTTTTACTCTCCCACCCGCGGAAGTGGGTGTTTTTGCCTCTCCATTTACAAATGAAAAAACCGGCTCTGAGGGGTTGTTCAAGGTCACACAGTTAATAAGTGACAGAATCAGGGCCTAAAGCAGGCTGACCCCAAGCTGGTGTCCTTTGTTAGTGCTACGTTTCCCTGTCAGAGGTGAGGCAGAGGTGTCTTCATTACTTTTAGCAAAGAGAACCGGCTCCTCTGTATACAAATAAAGATGTGACCTGCCAAGTTACCTGGGAAGCTGCGGCCTTCACTTCTTTTCAAACCACAATGTGTCTTATGCTCTGAGCTGCTTACAGTCTCACTTATGAAATGGCTTGCTGGACTTAAGATTGGAGTCTGCAAAACTAGATGTTTATTTTCTTTTTTTTTTTTTTAATCTAACTGGCCCTATGATATGGGCCTTACTAGCCTATGTTCAGACCAAGTGATCCACCCAGGTAGTACTAACAAATGCTGCACACGCCCTTCCAATAAACGAAGACCTTAAAATTACCTTGGTCATTTAACCTTCAATTATCCAACCACTTTACAGGTATTTAATGAGCATCTCTGCCTTTCCATGCTCCAGTCTACTTTCTCCTCTGCCAGTTTTTTTTTTTTTTTTTTTTCAAACATGGTTCAGATCCAGTTAATTCTTTACTTTAAAACCCTCAGTGGTTTCCTATCATCTACAGAGTGAAGATAAGACTTGTCACATGAGGTCCCTGCCTGTATTTGCACCTCTTAAATTTGGAGTACAGGCAAAAGCAAGACAAAGTGAAACCCCAAGGTAGAGCCAAGTGTTTGATGTATCTGTAAGAGTACAGATTCTTGCCCTCAGACAACTCAAATCCTATATGAGAATAACCACAGCTGAATGAAGTATAAATGCTTCACTTCTTAGCTCACACTTGACCCTGGAGAGTTTGGTACTCACAAAGAAATGCAGGCTCCTGAGAGTAAGGGGTTCAGAGTTCATTTCTTTCTATATAACCTATCTCTTTTGGAAAAAGAGCCTGGAAACCTTTGGAAAAAAGTTGGATAACTGGGAATAAAAAAGTAGGACCAAAAAAAAAAAAAAAAAGAGAGAGAGAGAGAGAGAGAGAGAGAGAAAATGTAAATATTCTAGATCTAAAGGTCAATGCCACTGCTAGGTTCAAGCTTCAAAGTTGACTCTGGATTTCCTGGCAGCCAAGGCAAAAATGGGAAACAGGGTACATTATTTGCACTTTACTGACAGAAAAGAAGAAACCTATCCATTTTTGAAAACAAGCAAATTATTTTATGGTGCTATTTTTAATCTTGATCATCACTGCTTTTTAAATTATAAAGTTACTGTATGTCCTTTGCAAAAAATCCAAATAACAGAAATATCTATAGGGTAAAAAGTGTATGTCCCCCTTACCTATATCGCTCTATTCCCCTTATCTAGAAGTAAACCCTACCCCTGAAGACTGACAATTTATTTCTAGAGGGGTTTTGTTCTGTGCAATTAAAAGTACTTACAGTTTACACAGAATTTGGGTTTTATTTGCTTGCTTTAAAAAAAAGTATTATATTAACTATATTCTTTGTAACTTGCATTCTCACTTTATGGTGTATCAAAGACATCCTTCTCTCTATATATATAAATCTCTTCCATTTTAATGACTACAGTATTCCATTATAAAGAGGTGGCATAATCTATTTAACAGTTCTATTTGTTTCTGGTTTTATAGTTGTATACAATGAATATGCTTGTACATATACTTTTTTGTAGAAATCCATCTATATCATCAGTCTCTAGAACTATAAGATCACTTATATATTTAAAATTTTGATGCACTGTCTGCACAAATTTATACTCTCACCAAGAGTGTCTGAGTGTGCCCATTTTTCCATTCCCTTGCCAGCACTAGATATCATCAACATTTTTCATTTTCTGGCACAAACTTCTGAATGGAATTTCTCCTGGCAAGATCAACATATTTTAATCAAGAAAGGAGACCAATGAGACAGTCTCATTTTTCTTGTTCTAGGGTGGTGGTTTTGGGGCTGTGCTCCATAGAGCCCCGGGAATGCTGAGGGATAGGTGTGAGGGAGCACAAAAGGACAAGACATTCACCCTGTGAACCAGGGCACTTAGTTTATCTGTTTTACATGTTGCAGTTTGGAATAAGACTTTGTTTGAAGATAAGATTCTGTTGTTTAAAAACAAGTTTGAAAATCACTGATCTGGGGCCTTATTTCTTATTGAATCATCAGCAAATTGAAGAAGAATTAAAAATGTATTCCTTCAAGGCAAAGAAAAGATATGGAAACAATGAATCTTCAGCTGTAGCCAAAATATTCTCATTTATACACTGTGTGTGAGAATGTGTGTGTCTGCAGATGTTCTTGTTCATGCTAGGCCTCTTCTGTTGCCCACCTGACATCCTGCAACCAATCCCAAAACATGATTTCCTCCAAGGTTTACATGAAAATGACATACACACACACACACACACACACAGAACATGCACACACACCATCAGTGGGAATCATATCTTCTTTATTTGTATAAACTGGATGTCAGCTGCTCCTCCTTTCCTCTGAGACCTGGATAAAATTTCATGGTAATGATCCTCTAACATTTCTGGGAGCTCCTCCTAGCCATAGGTTCTCAGGGCCTCCTCTCCCTCCTGCTTCCTTAGGTGCCCTCTTTAAGATTCATTATGCAAAACTCAGCTCCTTCTTTGGCAGTCACACACACGAACAACAATAACAACAACAACAACAAACTACTCCTCTGCACGAAGTATCCTTGAAAAGAGTAAAATACTACAGACAGCACTTGGGGAAAGTGTCAAAGAAGGAAGAATTTGAGTCACAAGGATGGAAACTATTTCAAGACAGCATGTAAGCATCACAGGGGCCTTGGCCTACCACCAGCTCGCCTTCATCTCACTGGCTCTTCTCTCCTTTTGTTCTTTATCTCCACCCACTCCCCTCTGGATTGAACCAAGAACTTCTAATTATTTTTTCTATGAAATGTTGCAATTCTGCTCTCCCCAGCTTGTGGCCTCAGCATCGTATGGCCAATATCTTCATAGTACTTGTCTTACGACATGAAGAAAAAAAAACTTTTTTCATTAATACAAGTAGTGCTAAATAACAGAATAGCTTTAGACTATATTTTAGCAGAACGAAATGGTGTTTGTGTTATTACTAATTCCTCCTGCTGTGTGTGTGTATATATATATACACACACACAGCAGGAGGAATGTATATGTATATATGTGTGTGTGTATATATATATATATACATATATATATATCTCAGTACTTCTTTTCAAGTAGAAACAGACATTTAAAAAGTTAGAGAGCAAGTGATCTGGTTACAACAAACTCTAAACCATTATACCTTCTAGTTCAGAGGAGGCTGGGATTTGTTTTTGAGTTGTATTGCTTTTGTCCTGTAATCATATTAGATATCTGGCCCCTCCAACCAAATGTTAAGTAGCCAAGGGCAAGGACTCTTTTTGTAGCTTTTAAATGTCGAAAGTCTCTGGCATCTGCTTCATAAATGTGTAATGAATAGAACAACCACTAATTATGTGACTAAAGAAAGGGTAAGTGATAAATAAATATAAGACCCTTGGATATTTTATGAAATATGGTAGATAATTCCTTGAAAAGGCTGTAACATTAGTAATTCTTAGAGAGTTCTGTTAAAACATTCAGATATATTTTCAACTTGTATTTATCTTTTAGGAGATCCATTGTATAAGACTGAACTACTCAAAATATTCACGACATCATATTTCTTTTTGTACTGGCCTTTACTCTTCTAAAACTTATTTCCGACTTTTCCTATAAGCTAGATATTATTTTTGTTTATTCCCTTCCCATGTGGCCAGATAGGAAGGAAGCAGAGATGATTATCTATATCAATACAATATCTCCTCTTGCAGGGATCCCAAGAATAAAGAGTACTATATAAAGTAGCATGCTATGTAAACCAAGGCTTAAAACATCCTTTAGTGAACCATCATAAAATATCACTTGAAATTCCTACAGGATCTTCTGCCTGCTATGTTTAATTCCTAAATCTCATGTTATTAAAAGAAGTCTGTTTGCTCTTTTATCTACACTCCACATCATACAATTTTTTTTTCATCAAAACTGGCTTAGTTTGGTGTAAGGAAACAGGAGCATATGACAACTTAGAATTTCTGATATTTGACCCTTTGCTGTACATTTAAGCTCATGAATAGTCCAAAGCTCAGAACCCAGGCCCAATTCCATTGTGGATATATATATACCAGGCCAAGTTCCACTGTGGATATATATCTATAATATATATAATCCAAATTAGTATATATAAATATATATCCTAATTCCATTGTGAATATGTGTGTGTATGTGTATATCTGTCCTATTCTGCTTGTCTGGATGACATCATTTTTGCCAAAACATTCAAATGAAAAAATTTTAAAGCAAACTTACTTGGTGTCATGTAAATAACATGGAATAATCATAACCAGCTGTTTCACTGCTAAAATACTATCCAGTCTCTCCCAAGTCTAGTGAAGAGCTTTACTTGCTTACTTGTTGACATTTGGCTCTTATCTGCTATTGTTCCAGTTGTCCAGCTAAGGCACATTCATAAACAGGATGTGAGGGCAAAATGAGTTAACCATTTTAAGTACTTTTTCTTTCTGCAGTTCTCGCAATAAATGTGATCAATGAAGAGAAAAACATTGACGATGTAAGAAGAGTGATTTGAGATGTGGTTTAAGAGTCAGCACACCTGCGTTTGAATCCTGGTTCTAATGCTAGACAGCTGTGACCTTGGGAAAATTGTTTAACTTACTAAGCCTGTTTGCTCAGCTCTAAATTAGGGCCAGTAATACCTTTCTCATATTGTGACTGTGAGCGCTAACTGTAAAATATGTATTTAATAAATGGTAGCTGTTTTGTTGTAATTATTACCACAAAAGCTTCGCTATGTGGGACTTTGCCATCCTAAATTAATTTTTGTATTTGTGTCTCACTTTGAGCTTCTTCAAAACACCTCTCTAGCCACCATTTTATTTTATCTTCACAGCAACCTTGTAAGCTAGGTATAACAGACGCGACTAACCTCATTAAGAAACCAACAACTAGGTGACGTCAATGCATTGTCTCAGTCATCCCGTGTCTGGTCAAGTGCGGCAAGAATCTGTCTCGTCCTTACCTTCATGAACAATCCTCCAATTTGCTCTCAGACAGCAACCACGGGGAGCTGTTAGAAGTACTGTGTGATCCGTGGACACAGGGAGGGGAACATCACACACTGGGGTCTGTTGGGGGGAAGTAAGGGAGGGACATCAGGGGGTGGGGAGTGGGGGAGGGATAGCATGGGGAGAAATGCCAGATATAGGTGAAGGGGAGGAAGGCAGCAAATCACTCTGCCATGTGTGTACCTATGCAACAATCTTGCATGTTCTTCACATGTACCCCAAAACCTAAAATGCAATTAAAAAAAAAAAAAGAAGTACTGTGTGTTCATGTTACCGCCAGCCCCCTCCCCATCTCCATTTAGAATCCTTCAGTGGCTTTCCAATGCTCACAAGATAAAGGGAGAAATCCTTCATGCGGCCTGTGAGACCCTGCAGGTCTGACCCAGTTCTCCAGCTCCTCTCAGAACATCCTTGCCCTCCTGAGACCTTTCTGGGCTGTGTTCCTTAAACAGGACCCACCTCCCCACTCCGAGGTCCTCCTCCTCGATTCCTCTCTCTCCATGGAGAGAGGACCATATCTTCACATCCTTCAGTTTCAGCCCAACATAGCACTTTCTCACGGAAGGCAGGCCTTCCCAGGCTATTATTCTTCCCTTGTTATTTATGCTCATGCTTATGTTCTTTTTTTACGTAGAATTTGTCACATTTTGTAATGATATATTTGTGCAATCATTTTTTCTGGTGTCTGTCGTCTCCACTAAACTGAAAGTGCCAAGGGAGAGAAACTGGATCTACCCTGTCTCCTTTGAGTCACCTGATTTCAGCATAATGCCTGACACTTAGCATTGAAAATATGCCTGTTGAATGAATTATATGTGTTGTT